AATAGGAGAGGGAGAGCTACCCTATACTATCATAAGTGCATGTTTATCTGAGGCTGTGGTCAGGGACCCATCTCAAGCCATCAAAAAAACACTTAAAACTCCCAGCCCCAGATTTTAAAAAATGAATTTAGCTTTTCAAATCCCTTCTCTGCCCTGCAGGGACTCTTTTCTTCATGTGTGCCTGCCTCCCTCTACCACCACCTCCTCTGTCTCTCTGTCTCTGTCTCTCTCATGTGTGTGTGTGCACGCACTTCTTCAATTATATTTAATAAAGTGTGTTAAATATTGTTGCCTGATGTATTTGAGTTCCTTTTCCTGCATTTTAATTCTTTAATTGGTGGAGAAAATGAACACAATCAAGACCCCAGTACAGTAATGGTACCGTAACTTCTCCAGCTGTTCCATCCACAGCACACACAGGGGCTCAGGGGCTTAGGTTAGCTCCACTTCACACCTGCCACTCTCCTGGATTAAGGTAAATGCCTATTGTGTTTCTCCACTTAAAGGCTGGGCTAGATAAAAAACAAGAACCCTGGTCAGATATGGTGATGCATGTCTTTAAACATAAGCATTTAGGAGGCAGAAGCAGGAAGTGGATCTCTTTGAGTTTCAGGCCAGCCTGGTCTACATAGCAAGTTCCTGGCCAGCAAGGGCTACATAGTGAAACCTTGTCTCAACAAAAACAGAAACATAAAAAACAAGAGACTAAAGGGAAATGCGGACAGGAAGCTTTCTTCCTGAGGCACAGCAGGCCATGTTGGGGGAAGTATGCTAACCTCTCAAGGAAGACTGAAGGAAGGGCATGTACTCGGCAATTTCTGGCCAATGTGACACACAGCAGGGTCATCTAAGAAAAGAGAACCATGGTTGAGAGAATTCCCCCATCAGATTGGCCTATAGGCCAATCTCTGGGATGTTTTCTTGTTTAATAATTGATGTGGGAGGACCTAGCTCACTGTGGATGGTGCTTGCTACTACTACTCTAGGACAGGTAGGAGGTTCTAGACCACTGGGATGTATCACCCCGGGTCCTGGATTGTGCAAAAAGCAAGTTGGGCAAGCCAGTAAGCAGCATTTCTCTGTGGTCTCTGCTTTAGTTCCTGCTTCCAGGCTTCCTCCAGCCTTAAGGTTCTGCCCTGGCTTCCCTTCATGATGGACTACACACAGTAAGGTAAAATAAACCCTTTCCTCCCCAGGTTGGTTTTGGTCAGTATTTTGCCATAGCAAGACAAAGCAAACTAGAATAGAAATGTACTATTATGGCCATTGCTGTGACAGAGTTGCCCACATTTTGGGAAGGATTGTGGTAGAGTGTGGAATTTTGGGCTAGAAAAGCAGTTGAGTGGTCATTGCTTACTGGGCCTAGGAAGATACGACCTTGGAAGGTAGGAATGCTGAGGGAAATGTAGGCGATAAAGGCCTGGGTTGTGAGGTTTCAGAGGGAAGTTTGAAAGTACTTAAAAGGATGAAATAAACCCTTATCTCCTGTGTAGCTTTTAACTTAACAGGCTGAGGCCATCCTCACCTGACAAAATTCCTCCATCAGATTGCCTGTAGGCAAGTCTGTAGGGCCTTCCCCCTGCCCCGCCCTGACTAATGATTGCTGTAAGAGGGCCCAGCCCATAGTGGGCCTTGACTCCCTGGCCAGGTGGTCCTGGGTTCCATAAGAAAGCAGGCTGAGCAAGCCAAGGGAGTTAGCCACTAAGCAGCCTCCAAGACTTCTGCTTCAGTTTCTGCCTCCAGAATTTTGCCTTGAGTCTTACTCTGACTTCCCTCACTGAGGAGTGACCTGAGAACTATAAACTGGAATAAAACCTTTCTTCCTCAAGTCACTGTTAGCCACACTGTTTTATCACAATAGAAACCCTAAGACGATCCTTAAGCTGCTTATCACTAGAAAGCAAACTAGAACCCAGAAGGACTGCAGAAATGTCTGCCTAGAAGACTACAGAAATGCCGATGGGGAGCAAGCAGTTCATGTGGGTGAGGTCAGTATGCTTGCTCGATTTTTAACTGTCAGTAAGAGCAAATTCTGTATGCCAGAAGGCCAAGGGGACGAGCCTTCTGGGCTTAGCAAGTACTACTGGGAAATCCAATGGTCTGTACAGTCAGTTGGAAGGAATAGTCAACCTCTTCAGTAAGATCTCTTTAACTGTTTCAACTTAAGGAGACCCAGTACCAGAGCCAGAGGCAGTATGGATCACCTCCCATAGCCCAGTGAAAGGAAGAGCAAGGTACAGGCCTCCCCCACCAATATGTGTGTATACATGTACTAGATCACAGACATTGTCTTAGTTTTTCATCCTAGCTGGGGGAGATCCTAGCCACCAGCATATTTTTAAATTTTCCAATGGTGATGTGACAGAATATTCAATGGACCTTTAAGGTACTACAGAGGTCTGACATTCTCTCCTCATACACCTCCTACCTGCACCCTCTCGATCTACATCCCATCCTCCAACCCAACTCACAGTCCACCTTGTATGCTCCATGAGTAGTCCTAGGAAATCTAACAGTCTGTGCAGGTCCATGGGAAGGAAAACCAGGGTCAGAACTGGAGGCTTGGCACTTTCAGAAGGCATAAAGAGGTCTGTCATAAAACCCAGTGAATGGAAGAGCATAGAGACAATCCAACCCCTCAATATTAAGTAGGTCCCAGACATTTTCTTCACAGTTCCAACCTGATAGAGAACTTAAGCACCAGTATTTTCTAGGCCCTCCAACCACAATGAACCTTCAGGATGTGACAGAGATGTAACTTTTTCTATTCTTACCCTCCTAGAACCCCCATGCTACCTCACCCCACCCCCACCCCAGCCACACCCTCCTATCTCCCTCCACTGTATCCCAGTCCCACTTTCTGTGTTCCTCAAGCACTACTTCAAAATCAAATGGTAAGATAAGGTTAACTTAGGTGGCTTCCCTTCATGCTGTTTGGTTTAGTTCTGTTTGGTTTAGAGAGACAATCAATATTCCCAATAAGATTTTAAGATCTTTATAAAGAAGAGAGGCCCAGTACTTGATCTAGTGGAAGAAGGACTATAGACCCAAACCTCCACACACACACCAACAACAATAACAACCAAAAAGTCATGTTTTCTTAGCTCTTCCAATCTAGGTGAGGGAGAGTGAACATCAGTGTTTTCTGGGTTCTCCAGTGAGTGTGAGCCTTCGGGATACTTTAGCGGCCTGACATTCTCTAGTCCTATACTCCCCACCTGGCCCCATCACACCCACTTGACTTCCCCCTCCCCACCACCTTAGCCTACCCCACCTTCTCCAAGTGCCACATGGGGAAATAATGGTCTGTGTTGTAGGTTTGTAAGGAGGAGAGTCAAGCTCACCAGTGAAGTCTTAGTGCCTTTCTAAGGTGAAAACTAGTACCTGACCCAGCAAAGAACCAGTCCCTCTCTTCCCTAATATTAACTAGATCACAGATATTTGTTTTGTGTATCCATCCTAGCTGAGGGATAATCTAGGAGCCAGTATTTTCTAGATGTTCCAGTGTGAATGGGACTTTATGATACACAAAGATATGACTTTCTCGCCGGGCAGTGGTGGCGCACGCCTTTAATCCCAGCACTTGGGAGGCAGAGGCAGGCAGATTTCTGAGTTTGAGGCTAGCCTGGTCTACAGAGTGAGTTCTAGGACAGCCAGGGCTACACAGAGAAACCCTGACTTGAAAAAAACCAAAAAAAAAAAAAAAGAAGAAGAAAGAAAGAAAGAAAGAAAGAAAGAAAGAAAGAAAGAAAGAAAGAAAAAGATATGACTTTCTTTCTCCCTAAACTCCCAACCTCCCCCATACTAACCTCCCCTACTCCTCTCCCGAAGCCAGGTGACCCTGAGCCTAACTTCTGGGCTCTACAGTTACTTCTGGGAAATCTAAATTAGGTCTGCACAAGTCTCTGGGAAAGAGAGTCATGCTCCGCAATGAGATCTTACCATCTTTACAAAATAAGGTGTTCCACTACCTGACCCAACATAAGGAAAAGCATAGGAATGGCTGCCCCCTCACAAATCAGTAACCAGAGGACAGGGTGGTAGTGTACACCTTTAATGACAATACTAGGGGAGGCCAACCTGATGTACATAGCGAATTCAGGTCAAACAGAGCTACAGATTGAGACTTTGTGTCAAGAGAATATTCTCTAGAGCACACACATTTTTTGTGCTTCTAGGGTAGTTGAAGGAAAAACTGTGCTGTTGTTTTCTCGTATCATCCCTCAGAGAGCAGCAATGAGCCTTTAGCCTGCTGCTACAAAGGTGTGACAGTCCCTTCTTACATCACACTGCCCCCTCCCTCCAGCACACCATGTCACTTTCTGGTCCCCCAGATCTGTGCACCACCGGGCACCATACCCTGCCGTACATCCCCCTACCACCACCACATTCTGCACCCCACAGGACTGCTTGGGAATCTGATGTTCAGTGCAGATCCGCTGGAAAATCAAGTCCAATTATGCAGTAAATTCTAAGCCCTCTAATGAGGAAACACATTTAGGGTAGGTACTAGCAAAGTGTGGCATTCTTTAGTTCCTGTCCCAACTCTCTGCCCATCACCATCTTACCCACACAACCCCACAGCGCCTGCCATGCGCCCCATCCGTTATGGCGGTGGTTCCAGCCTTGTGCCCACCCCCGCCATCTGTGCTCCTTGAATACTGCTGGAAACTAACATTCTGTGCCTGTTGATTGATAAGAAAAGTCAAGCTCTGGGAGTTCCAGTATCTGACACAATGAACGGAAGGGAGTACGAATGCCTCCTACACCCCAGCCTTCACTCAGATACTCTTCAGCGTTTCCTCCCCAGTGGAGAGAGAACCTAGACTCCAGTTTTTTTTCTATGCCCTTAGAGGATAGGGGTATAAGGTACGACAAAATTCTCTTATACTACACCTCCTCAGAACTCCCTGCCTGCTCCCAGCCCATTCCCTACCCCCAGGCCTCATCTCCCACCTACTGGTTCCCAACCACCGTACCCTTCCTACACCACTGCCAGTTGATCCCACCCAGCCTCCTGTTCTATACAAGTGCTGGAAACTGGAAGGGTAGATGGGGGGAGGGGGGGACAAGCTCCACAGTTGGAAGATCTGGTACCTGATCCAGTAAAAGGAAGTACACAGGACCTACTATCTTATCCCAATACTAACTAGATCACTGAGGTTTCCTTAATACTTCTACCCTAGCTGAAGGAAAATGTAGAGGTCAGTGTTTTCTAAGGCCTCGAAGGAAGATAGGCATTTAGGACACTACAGAGTTGTGTCTTCTCTGGGTCTACGCATTCACAACACCCGGAGCTCTCCAGATCCCGCCCCATCACCCTGACCCCACCCCCTTACAAACACCCCATGACAGGCTGTGATAAAAACTTAAAGCTCAGGCCCAAACCCTCAGACCTTCATTCACAGTACCCACCTAGACTTGGGTATCAGCTCCACCAACAGGTCTCCCCCACAGGAGCCCAATCCCGAAGCTATGTCTGAAAAGCAAGACCCCAAGGCCTCTGAGGCAGCCTGCAGTGCAATGGACTTCCCAGAATTCGAAGATGAAGAACGCTGGCTTTTCAAAGGTAAAGACCTACTACTTTTTTATAGTTACGGAAAGGAGGAAAGTTGACTCCTCTGGGCATGAGTCCAGGGACACTGTTTCAAATTCCCCAGGAGCAAAGGGGAAACCATCTCCTGTCTCCCTAGGTTTTTTCGTTTCTCATGCCACCTCTCCCTTGATATCTAAGTAATATCGTCCTAGAATCCTTAGTTTTCTCCAAAGCTGTCAAACTAAACCAGAGGTTCCCTTTACCTGGAGGCAACCAGAGCGATGAACAGCACAAACTTTTACAAGTGAACTAAATCAGTATTATATAGTAAACTGTGTGGACCTACAGGTGGGAGACTATTGGAAAGGACTGTCATTATAGGTTAGAGTGTTCCAGTGTGAGCTGGCAGTTACAGTCCTCTTTCTACAGTTTTCCTCGAATGTGGGTCATCTGGTATTGCTCCTAGATCAAATTGAAGGACCTACTCAAGAACAACAAAAATCCTATAAACTAAGACATTTAATAAATACTTCGGATTCATTTTTTCACCCTACGCAGGAAGCCGGGCAGTAGCGGCACACGCCCTTAATCCCAGTATTCAGGAGGCAGAAGCAGGTGCATTGCTGAGTTCAAGGCTACCCTGATCTACAGAGTAAGTTCCAGGAGAGCCAGGGCTACACAGAGAAACCCTGCATTAAAAACAAAACTAGAAACAGAAAGTGAGCTAGATATGGTAGCATTTACCTTTAATCCCAGCCCCTTGGAATGCAGAGGTATGCAGAGCTCTTTGAGTCTGAGGCTAGCCAGCTCTATATAGAGAACTCCAGGCCAGCTAGGCTGTATAGTGAGACCCTACCTCAAAACAAACAAAAACCAAAACAATAAAGTTGCTTAACCTTCCTCCATAACAGCCTCACTGGCCATAAAATCTGTATTCTTGCACCTATACCTCCTAAACCATGGAATAATACCTATGAGGATATTTTCAAAGTGCTTTGACTTCTAAGGTGTTAAATTGTAGTTTTATTTGCATTTGAGTCTGTGTATGTTTTAATCCTCAGTTTGCCTTTTTATTCTCTCTTGTCTCTTTCACAGTTCTGGGAATCAAGCCTAGGCCTTCCTCTGCTCTGGGCAAGTATTGCATCTTAGAGCCCACCCCACCCCCCCCCCACCTTGATATTTTTGGTTCTGTTGTTGCTGTCATTTTGGCTTTTATTTATGTTTTGCCAGTCTATGTCTTTTTCTTTTTTAAACAACTGTTAAACCTTCCTGGGAATGGGCTCCAGCAGCTCAGGTCCTCTCCTGTTAGCACACAAGTGCTTCTCTGGTTAGAGTGGGCCAGTCCTGCACAGGAGTTCAGGTACCTTTTGTTGGGCACCCCCCTTTTAAGCTCATTTTCCTTCACCCATTCCAAGAATCTAAGTTTTTCAAAAAAGTGCTAATATGCTCAAATTAATTTAGGGCTGAAGGGATTTTTTGCAAGTTTACTCTCATATAGTCAAAACAATAAATGAAAATACTATTTTTCTTGGCATGTATAAATACAAAATTTAAAACACTAAAAAAGTAGTAAAAAAAACCTTTAAAATTGTTTCCCTTTTATATCCTTGTTAGTTTAAAGGGTCCGATTTCCAAGTAGTCCATAGGTTGTTAACAAAAATCTCTGTTGTTTTTAGCTTCAACCATATCATTGAGCATGTAGGGTCTCCTGCCCCCAGCAGTTCAAGGTCAAGAGGCCTTCCAACCCAACTGCTTCTGCTTCCTACCACCTTTTGCTTCATATCTGCATTTTCACATTTTATTGATTTTATTTTTCATGATTATAGATGATGACACCGAGAAGCAGGAGGACGAGTCACTGGGGTAAGTCGTGCAAGACTTTATTCACATGAACCACGGTCACCTTTGTGTCAGCAGCTGATTTCCACCCAGATGAACAAGAAACACATCCCACACTACCTTGCTGCATGATTTGATGCACAGCACAAAAATATATACTTCCATGAGACATCCCAGAGCAGTAGCTGAGAATCTATCACACTTTTTTCCCCAAGAGAAAAGAGCCTTTGGTCTTCTCACGGATTGTAACTGGTAACTTTAAAAAAAAAAAAAATGTGTTACTGCAATGAGGCTAAAAGTTTTCTTTGGGTTTTTATTTCTCACAGTGTTCTGAAGCCCTTGTTATGAACATTGTAGATAGCAGTTTTTCTTTTGTACTCAGTTTCCATGGGGGATGTTCCCAAGGCCAGGTACATTATAGTAAATGAGGCACAGTGTCCCAGAGAACTGATAACTGAATTCCTGGAAACTCAAGGAGAAAATGTAGCCTATTTAGTTCATGAGAACAGTGTGTGGGAACACAAGCACAGCCACATCTACTTGCAGAATCATGGTCTAGACTGCCTTGAAAACCACACGTTCTCCATTGTGGATGGTCTAGGGTCCAAATCTCAACATAGTTAAATCATTTACTGACCACTGACAAATCTATTTCTGTTAGGAATATTGGAAATCAAAATTAGGCTAATAATTGTGACCTGAACCAAATATAAGAGCAAACTGGATAAAATTCCAAAACTGAAGCTTTGCTTTTCTTTTCTTTTTTCTTTTTTGATTTTTCGAGACAGGGTTTCTCTGTGGAGCCCTGGCTGTCCTGGAACTCACTCTGTAGACCAGGCTGGCCTCGAACTCAGAAATCCACCTGCCTCTGCCTCCCAAGTGCTAAGATTAAAGTGTGCGCCACCACCGCCTGGCTAACTGAAGCTTTTCAAAGAAAAGTGTTTGGGGAACAAAATACATATATCAACTAAGCCAGTATAAGTGCAACAATGTTTGGGGCAATTAACCTAGAAAACAGGTTCACCTCGACATTTCAGTTCTTTTAATCTGTACAATCAAAAAGTTGTTCTAGGTGACAAGGTGACACCATTCAGCTTTTGTATTTTATTCAAGGCATTTTCTGAAGTAAATCATAGTTATTCAATCATTTATTTGGTTTTTAGCCCCTGATTTTACTTTAAGCAACAGATTAGTACATGGGTTTCTGAATTGGATGTTGTCTGGTGTTGAGACAAATAACTCTCCAGTATATTTATTATTATGACACTTTTCTCTAGCCGCACCGAATTCCTTCGCCTGCAAGATATCCTTCAGGAGGACAAAGTCAGCAGTACCGATGGTAGCTACACTCGCCAAGCTGTAAGTGGTCCAAGGAAGACAGAAACACACCCAGATGGGACCCTGAAAAACATAAATGCCAAGGGTAGATGGGCTCTAAACATGATGCAATAGATATTGTATTAGGATAAGGATATCCACCGAAAACTGAATCACTCTAAGAATGTATTTAACTGATAGTTAATTGTTTTCCTCCCATAAATCCTTCTTGGAGCCTTTAAAAGGAGAGATAGATAGATAGATAGATAGATAGATAGATAGATAGATAAGATAGATAAGATAGAGACAGATAAGTACTTAGAGAATATATATGTATGTAGACATATACATATATACTTCTATTAAATTTCATACTTTAAAATTGAACCCATTCAAAACGGACATGATTTTTTTTTTTTGGTCTTACTAAATTAGACATACCTCCTTATACTGATCATACAAAAATGACATTTATTTATGATAATAACATGTTGAGGGCCAAGGAAATGGCTTAGTGGACCAAGGTGCCAGCCATATAAGCCTGACAAGCCAAATTTGATCCTCAAAACCCATGGGGAAAAAAGCAAGATGTGTGGAGCCAGCAAGATGACTCAGTGGGTTAAGGCACTTTCCACCAAATCTGACAAGCACAGTTTGATCCCTGAAAAGCACCTGATAGAAGGAGAGAACTGATATCTTTAAGTTGTTTTCTGACCTCCACACGAATACCCAACTATACACAAAGGCACACAGAATAAATAAGTACATGTAATTTTCAAAGATTTTATTTCTTTTGTAAGATTTGTTTTCATTTGTGGTTGTGTGTATACAGGAGTGATAGTGCCTTCTGGGACCAGGAGTAAGATCCCCTAGAGTCAGGAGTAATGAGAGCTTGGGAGCTAGCTGTACTTTGTGGATGCTGGTGCTGGAGCTCAGGCCTCTGGAATAGCAGCGAGAACTCTTAGGTGCTGAGCTAACTCTCCAGCCCATATTGCATTCATTTTAGAAAGCCTCACTTTAAAAATTACCAAACAAATGAGAGGGAGACAGGAGGTCATGGGACAAGGGAGGGGAAGAACTTAGGAGGAGTGGAAGGAAGGGAAAATGTAGTCAGAATGTTGTGTATGGGAGAATTTTTTAAAAATTCAAACAAACTGATAATGTGTTTAAAGAACTGGAATGGTGAGGGGACTATAAATAAGTCATATAAAGGACTTGTGATGGGATGACCCAGCCTGGAGAGGATTTAGGGCTAATGTAATAGTGAGAAGACTTGGGCTAGAGAGATGGCACAGTGGTTAAAAATGCTGTGCACATGTAATTAAAAATAAGTCTGTAAAAGTTTGAAGGCCTGTCCCGTGGAAGCAACATTTGTTATAGTGATGATTCAAAGGAGCTGAATTAGAATAAATGCTTTAGAGCAACAATAGCAACCAACCACAGCTCCCAGGGTCTAAACCACCAGCCTGGGAGCACTTAGGGAGGGATCCAGGGCTCCAACTGTTTACTAAGCTTTATTCTCATCAGTTAAAACTATCAACTCTAGGATTAACATTAAGACAAAAGTCCTCCTTTGATGGCCAAAAATTGTCTACTTCATTTTGCCTTTCCCCTGTGTCTTTATCATTCCATAGGGATATACTGAAGAAGATGATGAGAACAGTCACAGCGACAGTGACATTGATGATAATGTGAAAGTCATCATTGGCAACATTAGAACAAACCCCTCCATGTACATGTATGTATTCTTAAGTGTCCTTGGGTTGTGGGACATCTAGAGAGGAGAAATACAATGCAATAGGAGTTGGCTCTCCATTAACTGTGCTTTAGTCTTATCCTTGGTATCAGTTGAAAAGAAACGTAGGAAGATGAAGTCTGTAGTGATGTTGTGTTGTAGTAATCTGCTCTGTAGTTCTACACACCAGTTGCAATATGCTGCTTTTCCTTTACGGGACACATTGTTTTTGTCTACTTTGTTTTATGTGTACCTTTTCTCACAGATGCTTTTGGTCTGAAATTATGTAGGATTTTGCTTTTGTGGGCATGGCTCTCATTTTTGTAGGAAGTCAGGGAGCTCCAAGAGTAAAAGAGACCCTGAGTCTATTTCTGCTAATGCAGCTTCTCTTGAGTACAAGCAATATCCTGGAGAAGAACTTTCATGCTCTGTCTTTTCAGTACTGTCATTTATCATGTGCTAGTGGAGGCTCACATTTGATGTCTGTCTTTTTCTTTTAAAACGGAAAAATAGTCAGGTGAGATAGTGCACGCCTTTTGTTCTATCACTTGGGAGGCAGAAGCAGGAGAATCTCGGAGTTCTAGGCAAATCTGCTTCACAAAGTAGCTCCCACTTGCCTCTGTCTCCCAGAGTGCTGGTGAGATAAAGGCTGGCCTTGAGCTCCCTATCAGTCCTGCCTGCACCTCACCAGTGCTAGGACTTCAGACATGCATTGCATTATCACATTCAGATTTCTTTTTGAGAGCTATGTGGAGCCTAATCTACATAATGGCTTCCAGGCTGATTAGGACTACATAGTAAGAGCCTGTCTCAGAGAAGGTGGGGGTAGATAGCCTGTCTTCGTTCAAATAGAAATGGATCATATTTTCAAGTGTGTACACAAATGACTTTCATGTCTAAGTTGTTGGATTTAGCCTATTGACAATTGATTACACCATCTCTCTATTCTAGGGAGATGCCCACTAATCTGAACTCACAAACTGACCAAGACCAAATAACTGAATCAGGTATCTTTCTCGCCCTTTGGATTGTTATTGAAGTCACATGTTGCATCCTTGCAGCCTGACATACATAAGGAATTTCAAGGCATTGTAAGCCACGTGTAGTGGTGCACGCTTTTAAGCCTAGCACTCCAGCACTCAGAGAGGCAGACAGACAAGTATCTGTGAGTTCAAGGCTAGCATGGTCTACATAGCAAGTTGTAGGCAAGCTAGGGCTAAATGGTGAGACCCTACTAAATAAACAAGGAAAGAAATAATAAATAAGACAGTCAAGGGATAATCAGGATGTAGTTCACTAGGTACAGTACTTGCCTTGCATGAATGAAGCCCTTGGTTAGAGTCCTTAGTACTATAAAAGCAGAGCATAATGTAATCCCAGTATCCAGGAGACAGCAGGCACCCTATCCCATGCCAAGGATGGTCTAGACAATCAAAGAACATCAAGGGTAAGGAAGAGACACAAATGGTCATTGTTCCCATAGATTACACTGTACTTTGGCCACAAGGGAGGACTCCAGCTCAAGGATTGTCTCTGGTGATACAGCTCCTTGCCCACTCAGACATCCTCAGATAAGCACCCCTCCTCTCCTTTGTTAACAAACCAAGTTTAAGGTTCTGCAATCTGGCCAAGGAGGAGCCCCAGCAGGCTGGTTCAGCCAAGATCCCTGGAGAGTAGATGAGGTCTTCACCTGTAGGGACCAGATTGAGAGTAATAGTTATCAAGAAAAAAAGGAAACGAGAGCTGGAAGGAACTGGGAGGATCTGAAGCAGTACATGTTTATAGGGTCCTGATGTTTAGACCACACTAAGCTGCACTGCTACCCCTGGAGGCAGAATCCCTGAAGCTACAATCATAAAGGTAATACACAGTGAAGGAATAGAAGCCAAGGAAGAGCTGAACAGCCACCCCCCAGCCAGTCCTGATTCTGGTATCCCACCTCTTGGGCTCTGACTTTCCAGAACAATTGAGCTCTGAAAAGACAGACCCACACACTCTCCATGTTCTGACTGGGCAGAATGGAGAGAAAAAAAAATAGTGTCTCCTATAAAGAACTAAAACCATGTGGCCTTAGAGAGATGACTCCATAGTTAAGAGCTCAGATTGCTCTTATAGAGGAGGACCCAAGTTTGATCCCCAACACCTGTATCAAGCTGCTCACAATCACCTATAATTTCAGCTCCAGGAGACCCAACTCCTCTCGCCTCTGTAGAAACTAGCACTTGTAGAAATTTTTAATCCCAGTTTGGGGTTTTTAATCCTACCTTTGATCATTTAGTTTTTGGATAAAAGACACACAACTTTTATTATTTACAATAAACCTTAAACAGCACAAGAGCTGGGCAGATATAGCATTCATGTGTATCCTGTGGGACGTATAATTTTTTAAATAACAATAATAAAACACCACAAACATTTTCCTGGAAAGAAGTGAAGCAAATAGGTATTGGCTAAGCTTGGCATTAGGTAGAACTGACATTTAGTGATCAAATCAATGTGATTTCTTTATCATGAGTTTGTCTTAAAAGGTAAAGTCACATTTCACACAAAGGAAAAGGATTTTATAGTTTCTGTAGTGCCTTCGTTCTTTCACAACATCAGAACTATAGTTTACAAAGCAAACCAATAGCAACATCCATAGGTAAAGAAGGAAACAGACATTTAACTGTTTAACATTTCATAGATTGGCGTGTACTGTTACACGCATGCAACTTTTTTTTTTACAGAATGCAACTTTTTTTTTGACAGAATGCAACTTAACCAGCTGCATTTCCAGCCCCATACTGCATTTTTACTTAGGCATCTAATACAGCTGAAATACTGATGTTTGGCCTTTAATATAAACAATCAGCTGGATGGTGGTGACACACAACTTTAATTCCAGTGTTCAGGAGGTAGAAGCAGGTAGATCTCTGTGAGTCCGAGGCTAGCTTGGTTTACAAAGCAGGTTCCAGGACAGCCAGGGCTGTTACATAGAAAAACCTTGTCTTGAAAAACAAAACAAACCACCCAAACAAAAAAATTCAGAAAGAGAATCTGCAAGACTTGGTAGTCTTTGGAAATCCCCGTTTCTAAAGGTGTGCACGAGAGAAGTATTACTGAGGAATAGAGAATAACTGAAAACCTTTTTTCCACAGACAATGCCATGAACCCAACTGATTAAACAAGCAAGGATCAGAAGCCTGCCACCATCACCTATCCTTATGCCCTCATGCATAAATGAAGTCGTAATGGAAAACAACAACCCCTTCCCTTGTTTTTAAAGACAATGGCGTCATCTCTACAGACAAACCTGAAAGCAAATCTATGCCAAACCACTAAAACAAATGGAAAATATTTAATTTGAGACCTGGCTGTTTTGAAAATTGGAAATCCTTGCTCAAAATTAAAATCACCCCAAACAATCTAAAGTCTTCTACCTGCCAACTAGGGGAGTTTGTTGCTTGTGGAATGTTGAATGAATAAAATCTGCTTGAAATCTTTGTGTTTTCCTGTGACTGTTTCTGAATCATTGCCCCTTCCTTGTCATGCTAATTATGCTAATTACCTCCATTTTTTCCTCCTTTCCTTTCCTTTCCTTTCCTTTTCTTTCCTTTCCTTTCCTTTCCTTTCCTTTCCTTTCCTTTCCTTTTTTTTCCTTTCCCTTTTGTTTGGTTTGGTTTGGTTGGTTAGTTGGTTTTTAGAGACAAGGTTTCTCTGTGTATCCCTGGCTGTCCTGGAACTCTCCATAGACCAGAGAGATCTGTCTACCTCCACCTCCAGAGCGCTGGAATTAAAGGCATACATCCTCATGACCAGCTTTTTTTTCTTAAAATGTAGCCTGAGATGCTGGCTCATGCCTTTAATTCCAGCACCCCAGAGGCAAAAGCCTGTGGAGCTTTAAGTTAAAAGCCAGCCTGCTCTACACAGTGAGTTCCAGTCCAGGGCTAAGATCCTGTCTCGAAATAAAATTTAATTACTTTAGTTGAGTAGATTAATTTCTTACATTTTCTGTTGCTTTTGTTAAGTATGCTGAGATTGAAAACACTGTAACAATGTGAAAAACAAAACTATCGAAGATCAAGTTGTTAGTTTCAGTGTGTAATTTTTTAAACTTATTTATTTTATGTATATGAGTACAATTATAGCTGGGGCTTTGTCAGATTCCATTACAGATGGTTGTGAGCCACCATGTGGTTGCTAGGAATTGAAGTCGGGACCTCTGGAAGAGCAGTCAGTACTCTTAACTGCTGAGCCATCTCTCCAGCCCGGTGTGTAATTTTTTATTTGCAAGTTTTTTTTATAATAAAGTTCTAATTTTGAAAAAGAAGATACTTTAAGAAGTTAAAAAAAAAAATGTAAGAAGCCAGGCAGTGGTGGCGCACGCCTTTAATCCTAGCACTTGGGAGGCAGAGGCAGGTGTATTTTTGAGTTTGAGGCCGTCCTGGTCTACAGAGTGAGTTCCAGGACAGCCAGGACTATACAGAGAAACCCTGTCTCAAAACACCCCCCCCCTCAAAAAATAAGAATACATTGGAATCACTCTTGCCTTACCAATGAGAAGTATTTCTCCAAATCATGTCACCAATTATAAAAGTGGAAATCACTGTGCTTGCTGTTTTACAATAAATATTCCAACACCTAGACTTTAAAAATGAATAAGTCTGGTGAGGGGAAATTGCTGGAGTGAACTACAACAGTCGGTGGCTGAACCAGTGAAGGGATCTTCAATATTTGTAAATTCCAATTTTTTAATTTTATTTATTTTTATTCCATGTGCATTGATGCTTTGCCTGCATGTATAACTGTGTGACAGTATAGGATCCCTTAAAGCTGGAGTTACAGACAACTGTGAATCTGTTATGTGGTGCTGAGAATTGAACTTGGGTCCTCTGGAGCTCTGGAAGAGTAGCCAGTGCTCTTAACCTCTAAGCCATCTCTCAAGCCCCAGAATTTTGAATTTTTAAATACCCATATAGTGGATCTATGATTTTGCATGCAAACAGACATTGGTTTATAGGAAAGGGCTTTTATTGCTTGGTCAGCAATTCAACAGTTAGTTTGAGGTAGGGGTGAGGGTGGGGACTAAAGTTCTAAACCAAGTGATGGTTCAGTCCATTTATTTTTTTAAACTCTGACATGAGGAGCTCTTGCCTTACATGTTACAAGCTAAATCTTACTATAAATGGGTAGAGTATGCCTGGCCCCTTTCTTCCTGAATCAGAAAACAGCCAGAAGCAAGTAAACAGCAGCCTTTCCACTTCCTTCCTTCTCTCACTTTGCAATCTTTACTTCTATTGTTCCATCTATCTGAGGGACTGCTACTCAGCAGCTGCCAGTGAGGCTGAAGAAACTTGAAGCACTGCAATTGATATTATAAAGGATTTACTACTTCATTTGCTTAGGAGACATTAACACACACAAAGTAGAATTTAGCAAGGAACTGCTGCCTCCAAAACACCTGAAAGATAAGTGCCATTCTAACTGGGCTTGTTGGAGAAAAGTGGGACTTAGCATCCCTAGGATGTCTGGTTTTAGTAACACCCCCCCACCTCTCCACTCCACCCCCCCCTCCCCGCGGTATTTAGAGCCTGGGAGAGGTGCGGGCAACTGGTTCCAACTGACAACAAGTGCTGTGTCAGCATGCCTAGCGAGCCCTGCCTAGAGAGCTGTGCTAGAGCCCTGTAGACCCAAACAGCATTCTGTGTGTCTAGAAGACAGAACTTGGAGCCAAAGTTTGCTCTTGAGCCTTAAGATAACGAATTCCCCTGTTGGAGTGCTGCTCTTCAGGGAACTTATATTCAGTCTCCAGATGTCTCAAAATTGCCTGTAACTCTAGCTCCAAGGGATCCAATACTCTCTCTGGCATACTCCTACAACTCACCCCCTGCACTCATAAATAAAAGCAAAAATCTTAAAATATATTTATAAAGCAGGGGGACAGCAATGGTAGCTAGACCCTGGGATCCCCTCCTAGAGGAATATGTTGGTGGTACACACCTTTAATCCCAGCAGTCAAAAGGCAGAGGCAGGTGAATATCTGATTTAGATGCCAGCCTGGTCAACCTAATGAATTCCAGGTCAATCAGGCTACATAGTGAGAGACTATCTCAAACGAAACAAAACAAAACCTTCTGCTGTTGGGAGGAGTTGATGGTATCCTACCCCTCCCTGGGGGTCTATAGGGAGCTAACAGTTGGTGAGAAAGGGAGAGAAAAATCTGAATGTACAACTACTTGTAAGGAGTCTATTCTCCTACAAATAATCCCCTCACCCAGCACCTTGAAAGCAACTGTAATGAAACTCTGGAGAGAGCGCACGTGCGCGCGCACACACATACCTACAGAAAGAACTACTGCCCTGTCATGTCTTTTTTGGTATAATTTTGGGGAGCTTATTTGGTATAATTTATCCCTTTCTTCTTTCTGATTTCTGAGTTTAATGAGTATGTCTACCTAATGTCTGTCTCAAGAGTTGTAGTTTTAGATTTTTTAAAAATTATTTTTTTACTTGTTATTATTAGTGTGTGTGCATGCACATGGCACGAGTAAGGTGATCAGATGGTGCATAGCTTTTTCCTACCACTCAGGAGTCAGAGTCAGGAGGATCTTTGTGAGTTCAAGGCCAGCCTGGTCTATAGAGTTCCAGGACAGCCAGGGCTACACTGAGATACCTTGTCTCAAAAACAAAAACAAACAAACAATAACAAAAAAGATAAGGCCTTTTTGGATGTAATTGGTAATGCCTTCATGAATTGATGATTACTGTCCCTGTCCTTGTAAGAACAGCTAAAAGACACACCTAGTTGTGTCTTTTGCTCTTCCATTTCTTCTGTCTTGTGAGAGCAGCAACCAAGCCTGTCATCTTAGAAACAGAGATCATTTGGACGGCCTTAGACCTGCTATCACTTTGAACGTGAACTGCCTACCTTCTAGCATGTGAAAAGTCAGTGGGCTATTTATAAATTACTATTCTGGGCATTTTGTCCCAGCAGTAATAACAGATCACAATACAGCAGATACCTGAATTTCTTTCTTTTTAAGTGTAACTAATAGCTCATTGATTGTGAATCACACTTTGCATATTCATTCATCCGTTAATGGACACTTGGGTTTTGTCCAAGTTTCTCAATTTTAGGGTCTATAAAACTTCTTTTAGTTGTGAATTAAAGATCTGAATAAAGTTCAGCTAAGAGAAAATGTCAACAAAATTGAAGAAATTGTTAATATGTGTTAAGGACTAGCTATAGGTCAAATAAAGGGTCTATTACATAGAAATTTACTTATTTAAAGAATTTAAATTGTATATATTTAGAGTATACACTGTGGTCCTTCAATATGTACATAGTGAATTGATTGCTAGAGGTAATGATTCAGAGACATCTTTCTATAGTTGCCACAGTAGGAGGCACAAACACAATCTACTCAGCAAATTTCAAGAGCATAATATAGAAACGGGAGAGTTGGTCAAGAGCACTGACTGCTCTCACAGAGGACCAGGCTTTGGGTTCCTAGCACCACATGGTGGTTCACAATCATCTATAACTCCAGTCCCAGGGGATAGAGTGCTCTATTCTGACCCTCTCACCTTGAGCACCAAGAATATATAAGGTGTATATATAAGCAGGCAAACACTCATACATCTAAAAATAAAATCTTCTTAAAAAGGAGCTAATATGGTATCATTAATTGTGATATATATGTATATATATATGTATATTAGATCTATAAAACTTTTTCATCTTACATATCAGCTATTTGTATCTTTTTAATTAGTGTATACTATTTGTACAAAGTAAGGATTTCATTGGCTATTTCCATAATGCATATAAGGTAATTGATCATATTCACCCCTCTCTTATTCTTTCTTATCCCCACAGTTTGATAAAAACCAGTCCAACAACTAATAAGAAGTCCCGGACTGCTTGCTAAATGCTTTCTGTTACTGAGGTATACTCATGGCCCAATACTGCCACAACCAACCTCAGGCAATGCTGGCCAGAATTAAAGAGCACACATCTCTACCCTAACCCTGAGATTCACTCTACATTATCCACAGGTAGTCTTGGGTTGGTGACTATCTGGATCTAGTGGTTCTATACTCGGCCTATCTCTGAGCATTTTGTATAATAGCAGACACTATCGTCACTTACCTTCCATTTCCTGACAGTTAACAAATGGAAAAAAACAGCAAATTCCAGACTTTAGCTAAACACTGCAATAGTTCCGAAGTTTCTAGCTAACCAACAACGGTTAAGTGATAAACAGCTCACTTAATTTTAGCATTATTTGAATTGAGAAATAACATCTTTAAAATAAAGCTGCGAGAAATATGGTGGAGCGAGGAAGATGAGTCTTTCTGAGTTCCAGGCCAGCTGAGACTCTACCTCAAAAATACATAACTAACAGATAAAAGCATACCTTTTAAAATAT